ATTGGGTGGCAGCTCCCAAGGGGGTTTCTGTGATCCAACCCGTCACACCTATAATCTAGCACACTTGGGAGTATTTGACCAGGAGAGTATCAGAGCTGGAAAAATAATAAATAAGCAGCAAGTTAGGGCTGAGGTAAATTGTCAGATCAGAGTGGGGAACACTGCAGTAGCTTGTCTGCTCTGTGCCAGGATCTAGCCAAACACCATCAGCTCTTACTTGTACAAGAGCTAACACTTGAAACAAACAGAATTACTCCACAAGTTTACAATGACATGGCAATAAAACACTTTCATGATTATGAAATTATAAGCAAAGATTTGCAGGCAAAAAATACTGTTACTTTTCTATAAGCAAGTAAGCATGAACAATTTCATTTCATTCATGAATTTTAATACATTCAGCTCTTACATTTTGTACCTATATGCAACAGTTGGGTTTAGTGTATGGTTGAATCACATCTATGTGATCCTTAGTTCGCCTTTTGGAGCCAAATATCCTTATAAAAATCATTTTGTGATTCATAGAAAACACTGTTGAGGTGTTGCTCAAAGGCCTGGAATGGGGACTTAAATCATCATTGCCACTACCTTTAGTTGAAAATCTCTCACTTGCAGGTACAATGTTTTGCTCTTCTACTTCAATTGACAAAGTTTCATTCAATGGCACTCATTCCTGAAGAATAATTAACCACCCCCACCTACAATTTTCTGCACTCTCTGATATGAGCACAAATCCTATCTAGTTACTTAACTCTTGACAATGCTTATATTTTTAACTTTGTAAGAATTAATGGTTTATTTCCTCAGTCCATTGTGTCTTTATTTTTCTACTACTTCTTTCATATTATATGCATCAAGAAATCTGTTACTTACAGCCAAGCATTCAGAATATGCTGCGAGGAGTAAGTCCAGGATATACACCTTAATGCACTTAAAACTGCCATCACCAAACAAGGACACTCCATCAGAGAAGTAGATTGCATTATGGAAGAGGCCACCCAAATAGCCCAAGAAAATATCCTTCAGTACAGAAATAAAACCCCCGCTCATCACAAACCTAGTTGTCACCTGTTACACCACACTGGACTCCATATTGGGGAATCATCAAACAACTACAACCCATACTTGATGGGGACCCCACCCTGAAAGAAATCTTTTCTGAGCCTCCACTTCTGGCTTCCAAGCAACTCCCAACCCTTTCAAGCTTATCAGGAACCAGCTCCCCACAGACAAGAACACCTCAACTCAAAGTGGCACCAGACCCTGCCAGCACAACAGATGCAAAACCTGCAGACATATCTCCACTGCTACAATGGTCAACACCCGCCACAACACACCTTTGAAGATCCATGGATCCTACACATGCCTATCATAACGTGGTAAACCTCATACAGTGCACTAAATGTTCCAATAGTAACTATGTGGGTGAAACCAGACAATCACTACGCTCTCGAATGAACTCACCAAGGAAAATGATAAGACAAAACACCCTATCACCTGTGGATAAACACTTTTCACAAAGCAATCACTCTCTTTCTGACCTATCAGTCCTCATCCTCAAAGGCAACCTGCACACACTTTCAAAAGACAAGGCAGGGAGCTTAAATTCATAACTTTACTAGACACTAAAAATCGTGGACTGAATAGAGACACTGGATTTATGGCTTATTACAAGAATCTGTAACCCACTAACTCCCTCTTTTTGTCCTATGACTGCAGAGGTGTTAACAGGCCACTCTAGAATGGTCCCTTACAATATGTGATAACTACTTACACTAAACTATCTATTCCACCTTGCAATTGTGCTATGACTCTGGCCTGGTTTTCACTACAGAGTTAGGTTACGTTGACCTAACTCTGTAAGCATTTATATTAAAATGTAGCTCCAACCGATGTAACTCATCTACTACACCGACTTAACTCCACCTCCTTAAGAGGCTTAGGTCGACACAGTTAGGTCAATCCAGTGTCAGTGTAGACACTGTATTGTTTACAGCAACTGTTGATGCCTTTCAGAAGCTTTCCCACAGTGCCCCACACTGACAGTTAAATAGGTACAAGGGCTCCTGGTGAGGATGTGCACAGCCATAACAAGGAATGTAGTGTGGATATGAAAAAGCAATTTAATTACGGCGGTGGCTGTACATCGACCTAACTTAGGTCGACTTAATTTTGTAGTGTAGACTTGCCCACTGAGAGTACCTTTGCCAGGCCATGTCTACACTACACACTTACATCGGTATAACTACATCAGTAGAATAATCCAAACGCCTGAGAAATGTAGTTATACCGACCTGACCCGTTGTAGACAGCGCTGTGTCGGTGGGAGGGATTCTCCCACTGACACAGCTACCACCTCTTGGGAAATGGATTAACTATGCTGATTCACTCTCCTGTCAGCATAGGAGCATCTTCATTTAAGTGCTACAGTGGCGCAGCTGTGCCAATGCAGTGTTTTAAATGTACATCTGCCCCCAGACCTGAAGAAGACCTCTCTGTAGCTTGAAAGCATGTCTCTCACCAACTATTGGTCCAATAAAAGATATTACCTCACCCGCCTTGTCTTTCTTTCTTATTAGGTATGTTGAGTCAGATAAATGATGTTTGGTAATCAATAAACATTAATCACTCATTTACAGTATTAAATATCAGTTATTCCATTTTCCACAGTTAGAAAGAGAAACAATTACCTAGTGAATTCAACACTGTGAAGACAAAGAAAGTTAAGCTAGCCAGCCAGCTTTATTTAGCCATGTTTTTAAAATGTGGACAGGACATCTGACATTTTTGAATTTTAGCAAACCAAGTCCCCCTCTACCTAATAGTTTATAACTTCACCCACTGATCTCTCTTCAATATCCAATGACAAGTGATTTCACCCACTAGCCATATATCCCTTTCCCAGGGCACCAACATTACCACCCTTTTGCCTTCATCATCTAGTCTTTTACCTAATGCTACAACTTTTTTATTGTTCATAACGAGTATAACAAGAAATTTGTTTTTCTCATCACTTTCCTTTAAACTTTTTAAAATAAAGTTTTCATTCATGTGCTGAAATTAAAACTTAATGCATTTACTATTTAAAAACATTCCACATGTATGTTATGCTCCTGTAAATATTTCAGAGTGAGATAGGAAAGAAAAAGAAAAACCCGAAGAATAACTAGGTCGCTTTTGTTTTCAGAGAGGAGGAAAGGAATGGATTTTGCACAACCCTCTTTTAAGTCCAAGATTTTCTCCATTTATTTTCACTGTAACTATCCAGCTCCCTTTAAAGATGGAAACAGGAAATGCTTCTGATGTCAGCAGGATCATGGGACTCAAGCAGCTTCTCTGACTAGATGGGAGAAGGAACTTCTTGTGACAGTGAATTGCAGAGGTTAACATTAAGCTAGAACAGTTTGTTGCTTTTTAAAAACACACCAAGCATCTTATTTGCTTCCTTAATTTCTGATACACTCTGGAGAGGTACCTTCATGACTCCAGCAGATACATTTTGTTGCACAAGGAACTCTAGTTCACAGCCAATTAGTGTACATGAGTTTATTTTGTCAGTATGCAGTACATTTATCCAGTTTCTTTTCTATTCACATAATATTGCCCACTCAATTGCAAACCATGACTGTTCTTCATTTGGCAATATATAATTTGATTTTCAATCCTTGTTTTCTCACTCTTGTATAGCCGTGTGCTTTTTGAATACATATTCCATTTTTTTTGGATGAAGGTGTACAAATTCTATTTAAGGTCAGGTTTTCCCTCCCTTAACTTCTTCCCACCACCAACTAGAGACATACATCTGTGAGTGTAGATACCATCCATGGCAGTGACTTAAGAGATTAGTCCACGGTCTCAGGTGTTGATTTTTGCCAGATGTTTCATGCTAGGGCTTCTGCTTCAAACTACAATTTTGTTACACTCATAAGGTATCACTCCTGTTTAAAAAGGCATATCATCAGCCCTCCACCTGCAACAGAATTATTGGTGTTCACAAAGAGCCTGCACTGCAGTGGCAAGGTTCAGGGGTGTGTATGAATGTGAGCTAGGAAATTAATAGATAAGGAGATAGAGTCAGACTACCTTACTTTGGAAATTCCTAGCTTTAATCAGGCTACGGCACAACATTACTTAAAAAGACACACAGACATTTGGCTGCAAAACTTAAATTACCTTTGTGATTTTTTTTTGTTAAATACCTGGCTTTTATTCAAGTTTAGCTGGGTTTTCTTACATTAAAATTCTTCCAGGAATATTTTCTTTTTTAAAACTGGTTCATAATGTAAGTCCCACAAATAGCAAAACTATGATAAATTCTGTTCCTTAACTAAACTGAAAAAAGCAGTACATTTCCAGCATATTGTTTCCCAGGCAGATTAAAAATTGACTGTCTTTTTACTTGTTTGTTGCAATAAGTTTTCTTGTTTTATAGAAAAACATTTTTATGGACAAATCATGTTATATCTAAAACACAAATTTATTTACATAAAAAAGAGGTTGCTGAAGTCATTCTATATTTGACTAAAAAGATTGGTGCTTGTCTAGTGGTATATGTCAACCTACTTTTTCAAAGTGTGTTATGTACTCAAAGCAGGTTGAGTCCGAAGGAACATTAACTGTAGTACCTATGAATGGAGCCAGTAAGACTGTTGAGAACATGTGGTGAGAAAAACTGTTTAGACATTATTTGTATTGTTAGGTATAATACTTACTCTAAATAACAATCTCATCATCCTCTACAACCGTTGCCAAATTAGGGGTTCCAGACTTGTTGGTCAGTTCTGCTGTCATCTTTCTTGGATACTGTTCAATAATTATCTTCTAAGATAAAAGTTACATTTGATTCAAACAAACAGAAAGAGAAACAGACAGACTATATGCCTCATCTCTTTCCCAATTAAGCCAATGAGGTTTTGCCATGGACTGCAGAGGGAGCAGGATTAGCCCTATACAGAATATTTTTCTATATTTTTTAACAGTAAGGTTATGTCTCCATTACAAACCTAAGTCGACCTATATTAGGTTGACTTGCATCACCACAATAATTACTGTGGTGGCTGTATGTCCACACTACTATCCTTGGGTCGGTGGTGCACATCCTCACCTGAAGGAGGGCAGGGAGGAGGGGAGAGAGGAGCTCGGGCTTCTCACCTCAGCTCACAGATGAGAGTGGAGTCCGAAGCTGCCTCCTCTTCTCGCCCCGGCTCCCAGCTGGGAATGGGGTCCGCCAGGAGCAGGGTCCAGCAGCCCAGCTCTCCCAGGGACCAGTGGGTAGCTGGGCTCTATCTGCGCAGCTTTCTTGTCAATTTCCCAGCAGGAGCCGCAAAATTGACAAAACAGCCAATGTAAGGGACACTGTCTACATAGACGCTGTGTCACTCTAACTACACCAGGGGTTCTCAAACTGGGGGTAGGGACCCCTCAGGAGGTTGGGAGGTTATTACATGGGGGGTTGCGAGCTGTCAGCCTCCACCCTAAACCCGGCTTTGCATCCAGCATTTATAATGGTGTTAAATATATAAAAAAGTGTTTTTAATTTATAAGGGGGGGTTGCACTCAGAGGCTTGCTATGTGAAAGGGGTCACCAGTACAAAAGTTTGAGAACTACTGAACTACACCAACATAAGCCTTACACCTCTCGTGGAGGTGGAGTTATTATGTTTGAGTAGTAGGGCATTGGTGGCAGGAAGGCTGTAGTGTAGACACTGACATAATTAAGTTGACAGAAGGCTGCCTTCTGTCGAGCTAACTGTGTAGTGTAGACCAGCCCTTAGTGCTGAGAACTTCAAATTGGTAGGCTAAGTATGACATTCAGCACATTATCTCCTTGTAGCTCACACTTCTGTTCTTCATTTCTGCAGTGTCCAACTTCACTCATGTTGCTGGTTGTGTGATGCCATGCAAGTCATGGAGAGTCAGCCCCTGGAGTCTCATCTACATTGTTAACTCTGGTTCAACTCCACCAATGGTCATGACTTTGTGAGCCTCTGATGGGATGCACAAACCCCACGCTGGGCTCAAAGGGGGTTTAAGGACAATACTGGACCCAGATAGCCCCACTCCTCCAGATCAGCATGTTCTAGCTGGGGAGGAAGCTTAAAAGGGAGCAACCCAACTCAGATGGGGGAGGAAGACAGACCTTTCCTGAGGGCTCCTGAACAAGGGTGTCGAAGAAGTCTCCCGGGGAGGAAGGGGACTGAGCCCGGTTGGGGCTGAAGGTTTAGTTGTCTTTTTTTCCCTTTTGTTATCTTTTATTGTACTTGGAGCCATGAGGAGAGACAGATGGTAGGAAGTGACCCAGGTGGTAACTCCAAGAGTGCTCCGAGAGCCAGACTCTGATTGGCTCTTATAGGGCCCTGAGTCAGAACCTGGTGGAGTTGGAGGGCCTGGGCTCCCTTATCAAGTGCCCCTCCTGCAAGAGGTGTATAAGCCTCATTCCCCACAGCCTTCAGTCCCTGTAAAAAGAGGGCAAGGACATTGAAAACCCAAGGCAAAGCTAAGCCCATACACACAGGTGAGGAACTGGACTGACACCCCAAGGGTCCCTTTCTCCTCCTTCTCTTTCTTTCTCTTGCTCCCTCCCCCCAGTCGAGTCACAGTATGAGTAGGAACAAAGGAAGCAGTCGTTACACAGAACAAGGGATCCTGGTATAAGGAGTTTGGCCGGTATGACTTTTGAGAACATATGGTGAGAAAAACTTTGCTTTGAATTTAACATGGTTTGCTAGGTTAGGCAATAGTTGTGTTTTATCTATATGTTTCTTGTAACTCCATTTGAGATAACAAGATTAGTGCAAATCAGTTCTATTAATAAAATGACAGACTTTATATACGAGCTTGTTTTGTCCAGGAGAGGGCTGGGCAGTACAAGACCTACCTTTCTGGGGAAAAATCTGGGAGTGGGAGTATACTGGGGTCACCCTGCAGTATAATTCAGGTTGGTAAGAGCCTGAGTGTGACTGGCAGGCTGCAAGTGCATACAGAGATAGCTCTGAGTAACTTACATGCTAGTGGGTGTTTGTGAGCAGTCTTGAATGGAGGCCATAGCAGCAATGCACTGTAAAGAGCACCCCAGATTAGAGGGCAGGAGTGACACATCTACTCGTTAGTTTAGTTTGTACCCTGGCTATGTCACATCCACTAGACCACCTGGCCCTCCGCAGACCCTATCACACTGCCCTAGAGGAGGGTTTCTCAACCTGTAGATCAGGACCTAAAATTGGGCTGCCAGAATGTTTCAAAGGGTAGCGTGGCAGTTCCTGTGTCTCCTGTCCCAGAAGTCTAGTTAGGCTTGCCTCTCTGCTGCAGGCACTGCAGCCTCTGGGCTCCCAGCACAACTCAGGCTTGGTCCAGCAGTCATGATGATGGGAGTCTGGGTAGGCCAAATTTGAGTGAGTGGCAAACTCATGGGCCAGGTCACAAGTCACACAAATTTGGTCTAGTCAGGGGGGTAGGGCCAAACCAGAGCAGTGCTACAATCCTGGAGGTTGCAATGGCCAGAGCCAAAAGCCAAGCCTAGCCAGCCCCACAGCACAGGAGCTGCAGGAGCTGCCACTGTGGGGTGAGTGTTGGCAGGACCCTTTCCCCCACCCCAAGGGGGCAGAACCTAACCGAAACCACCCCAGAGCCAGGGCCGGCTCCAGCTTTTTTGCCGCCCCAAGCGGCGAAGCAAAATAAATAAATAAAGCCGCGATCGGAAGCACTTCAGCGGTAGCTCTACCGCGCCGCTTCATTCTTCGGCGGCAATTCGGTGGCGGGCCCTTCCCTCCGAGAGGGAGTGAGGGACCCACCACCAAATTGCCGCCAAAGACCCGGACGTGCTGCCCCTTTCCATTGGCCTCCCCAAGCACCTGCTTCCTTTGCTGGTGCTTGGAGCCGGCCCTGCCCAGAGCCTCCACCCCCCAGACTATTTCCTAGGTTGTGACAGGGCATAAACATTTACAAATGGGTCTTGAGCCCAAAAAGGTTGAGAACCACTGCCCTAGAGAAGACTAACCAAAGGCTGCTGCCAGCAATTAAAGAAGTGTTTTGGTTAGATCTCTTAAGCCATATTCGTAACACTTGGAGGCCAGAAGGGACCATTAGATCATTCTGATCTCCTATGTATCACTGGCCATTAAATTTCACCCAGCTGTTCCTGTATTGAACCCAGTAACTTGTGTGTGACTACAGCATACCTTCCAGAAAGGCATCCAATCTTGATCTGAAGACATCAAGACATGGAAAATCCAGCATCTCCCTTGGTAGTTTGTTGCAGTGGTTAATCACCTTCACTGTTAAAAATGTGTGCCTAATTTTTCATTTGGGTTCAGTTTCCAGCCATTGGTTCTTGTTACGCCTGTCTCCACTAGATCAAAGAACCCTTTAGTACCCTTCTCCCTGCGAAGGTCCTTACATACTGTAATCAAGAGACCTGAAGAAGAGCTCTGTGTAAGCTAGAAAGCTTGTCTCTCTCAACAACAGAAGATGGTCTAATAAAAGATATTACTTCACCCACCTTGTCTCTCTAATACTGTCACCAAGGCACCTCTCAGGCTATGTCTACACTACAGACCGTACAGCAGTACAGCTGTACTGCTACAGCTGTGCCGCTATAAGGTCTCCCATGTAGCTGCTCTAATCTAACGGGAGAGCTGTTCACATCAGTGCTTTTGTCAGTGAAATTTATGTTGGTCAGGAATGTGTTTTTTTCACACCCCTGAACGACAAAAGTTTTACCGACAAAAGTGCTATCGTAGACATAGCCTAAGTCTTTTTGATAAGCTAATCAGATTGCACTCTTTAAATCTCTCGCTGTAAGGCATTTTCTCAAGCCCTCAAATCATTGTTGTGGCTCTTTTTTACACCCTCTTCAATTTTTCAACATTCTTTTTAAAATATGGGCACCAGAAATGTATGCAGTATTGTCGTATCTGGCACACAAATGCCTCAGACAGAGGTAAAAATCACCTCCCTATTCTTCTCACTACTCCCATTTATACATCCAAGGATTACATTGGCCCATTTTGCCACAGCATTGCACTGGGAGCTCATGTTGAGTTGCTCATCCACTGTGACCTCTGAATCCTTTTCAGAGTCACTGCTTCCCAGGATACAGTTCACCATTCTGTAGGTATAGCCTAAATCAGGGTTTCTCAAACTTCATTGCACTGCGACCCCCTTCTGACAACAAAAATTACTACACGATCCCAGGAAGAGGGACCGAAGCCCAAGCCCCGCCTCCCTGGAGTGGGGCCGAAGCCAAAGCTTGAGGGCTTTGGCCCTGGGTGGGGGAGCTGTAACCTGAGCCCCGCCACTCAGAGCTGAAGCTGAAGCCTGATCCCTGCTGCCCAAGGATGAAGCACTCAGGCTTTGGCTTCAGCCCTGGGTGGTGGGGCTCAGACTTTGGCTTCAGCAAGTCGAACGCCAGCCCTGGCGACTCCATTAAAACAGAGTGGTGACCCACTTTGGGGTCCCGACCCACAGTTTGAGAACCGCTGCCCTAAATTATTTGGTCCTAGATGTATAACTTTGCAGCTGGCTGTATTAAAATGCATTTTGTTTGAATAGGCCCAGTTTACAAAGTGATTCAGATCACTCTGCATGAATGCCCTGTCTTCCTCATCATTACCACTCTGCCCATCTTTGAATCATCCATAAATTTTGTCAGCTGTGATTTTGACATGGTATTCAAAATGCTGGCAGTCTCTTTATACTAGGACTTCTAATGTGTCTACCACTGATGAAACAGGACCAGTGTTACCAATGTTTAGAAAAGATTTTCCAATGTAGACAAACTGCTTTTATGACTTGTGACACAGCGGATAGGGAACTGACAATATGTGTAAGCCTGGACATTGCAAGGATGAAGAATATAAATATGAGCTGTTGGATTATAATCTAAATTTCCCTCTTAGGCAGGTAATTGGGGACACTGTGAGAATTCCTTATCTCTTGTCTGTAAAATGGGGATAAAAATTATTTACCTATCTATGCTAATTTCAGGAGAATTGTGAGGATTAATTTTTTAATATTAAAAAAACATTTTAGATGAAAACTACTGCATTATTAGATTAACAATGCGATAAGTGTTAAATAGTTTTATTAAGATTCAATTTTCTTAAGCATGTAAAGATAATAAGATTTCAGTTTTAAAATGTAGTACACAAGATTAAATTCTGCCAGACCTGATAATGTGCTTCAGTTTTCTGCCAGATCAGGAGCTCTTCTGCTTTCAGTTTTTGTACCATTTCCAGTTCTAACAGGGCCTTTGCACGATCTTGTATCAGCTGGGCCCTCTCTACCTTCCTCTAGCATTGCAGAAAAATTATGACATTGACCAATGACAAAATATGGAAACTAAAATCAGCCATGTTGGGATTAAATGTCAAAAAAGATTTTTTTTAAATGAAAGGAAATTCACCTCTTCTTCTTTATTTAAATTTTTCTTGTATTTGTAAAGCCAGTATGCCAGATAATTAATTGGGTCTGCTGGCCGATGCTCTGCCACCTCTGCAAGTCCCTCAGCTAAGCATTTTCCTATGCATTTCTTGAGGTACTCTGTATCCATTCTTATCTTCTACCAAGCGCTGCACCAATATATTAACTGAAATGTTTTAGACATTATTGAATGAGAACGTGCACTAACAAAAGGTTTCATATGGACATTGGTGGTCATACAAATCTGTTTACATTGCCTTGGTGATACATCTCAACCCTGACATGGGGAACCATTTCTGGTAGTAAGGGAATAATTCAGCCTTAATGGCCAATACATTCTTGAATGACACAGCTAAGAAAGGTGGCAACTGAGTTGTTGGTTTTGTGAGATGAACATCACTATACTGATACCAGCAACTCATTTCACATAGCCTATTGGAAAGACATCCGCTGGTAACCACTTTTGGTTACTACCATCTTGGTTCTCTAGAAGTGAAAGTCCTTGTATTGCACTTCTAATTAAATTTTGTATCGATCTTGGTAAAATATTACTCATTAAGTATTGTTTTATTCCTACTGGATCTGCAGTATAGCCCTAACTAGCACAATCTGCATGGCACTGAATCAAACGCAATAGTCTTAGTTTTCATTTTTCACAAATAGAGTACAAAATGTTGGATTTATAAAGAAGCTTCCAGGCTAATCTAGACAGCATAAGTGGCTTTTACAGAAGAGAGTGTAAATGATAAGAAACTGACAGTGCAGTGACAGTGTAGGGCAATTATGGGAGTAAGTTCTAAGGCTATGTCAACACTATGGACCTTACAGCGGCACAGCTGTACCACTGCAGCTGGGCCGATATAAGGTCTCCCGTATAGCCGCTCTATGCCAGCGGATGAGAGCTCTCCCGCCAGCATAATTAAACCACCCCCAACAAGTGGCGGTAGCCATGGCAGTGGCAGTGTCCACACCAGTTCTTTTGTCGGTGAAACTTATGTCGGTCAGGGGGGTGTTTTTTCCGACAAAAGTGCTAGTGTAGGCAAAGCCTAACAGTATGCCTATATTTAAATGCTACAGCGGCACAACTCTATAATGCGTCATTGTAGACACTACCTCAACCAATGGGGAGGGATTTTTCCATTGGTGTAGGTAATCCACATCCCTGAGAGGTTGTAGCTAGGTTGATGGAACAATTCTTCCATTGATCTAGTGCTGTCTACATTAGGGGTTAGGTCGGTATAGCTACATTTCTCAGGGGAGTGGACTTTTCACACCGTTGAGAGACTTAGCTTTAGTGATGTAAATTCCTAGTGTAGACTGGGCCTCAGACTGAGTCTTTACTCCTGGGGGAATTCTGCACTACTGTGTGTGCGCATAATTAATAAGCTGTGCATACTTTTATTTTTTTGCGCAGAAAAAAGCTTCTACAGAAATGTTGCTGTAGTTCCACCTTTTTCCCACCAGAGGGTGCTGTGGTGTAAGAACAGTAGCAGCAGCTCCCAGCCAGCTGGGGAAGACAAACAGCCTGCCTTCTTTGCAGCGCCTGTCAGGCCAGGTCACGAGACAGGGGCTATGGGGAGACAGACAGCATGGGGTGCTGGGGGGTGGTGTCAGGGCCACATTGTGATGGGGGAGGGGGTGCAGAGCTACATAGAGACGGGGAGTGGCTAGGTGGGGGCACAGAGACAAATGGGGACAGAGGAAGAGGGTGCAAAGCCACATAGGGATGGGGAGACTGAGTGGGGGTGGAGGGACACATGTGGACAGGAATTGTGGGAAAACATGGGGACAGGGGCAGATGTGCTTGACTGAATGGGAGATGCTAGGGGTCAGCCAGGGTCTGGAGGGGGGAAGCTCCCTAACAATCCTCCCCGCCCCGCAAAAACCCTCAAAACCATACTTTTCCTACCCATACCCTCATTTCCCACCCATTCCCACAACCCTCCAAGTTCACACCCAGGTTCCTTCCCAGCAATTTACTCCCCCAGCTCCTCCATTACCCCCGACTCTCCCAAGCCTTTGCTTCTGAGGGGTGTGGTAAATATGGTTCTGTATTGTAGTTTAAATGAATTATTACTCAGAGTTCTGTATTAATATGCCTAGTAAGGAATCTATTTGTCAAAAAACATTTCCTGAATCTTTTTATCTTGTCTGTATTGTTTCAGACATACTTGGTGACAGATATTTTGAAATAAATGACCAAAAATAATTAAAACTGGTGTGATTATACTGTGTTATTTTGACAAATAAAATATGCAGAATTTTAAAACACTGTGCACATAATTTTTATTTTTTTGGTGCAGAATTCCACCAGGAGTAAGTCTTGTACACTGGAGTCTGTTTGGGCTTGTCTATACTTACGCGCTGGTTCGGCGACAGGCAATCGAACTTCTGGGTTCGATTTATCGCGTCTTGTCTGGACGCGATAAATCGAACCCAGAAGTGCTCGCCGTCGACGCCGGTACTCCAGCTCGGCGAGAGGTGTACGCGGAGTCGACGGGGGAGCCTGCCTGCCGCGTCTGGACCGCGGTAAGTTCGAACTAAGGTACGTTGACTTCAGCTACGTTATTCACGTAGCTGAAGTTGCGTACCTTAGTTCGAATTGGGGGGTTAGTGTAGACCAGGCCTTTGAGTGGGAATCCCTACTGTCCAGGTTACTGAGGTTATTGTATCCTCTCCAGAAACAAACCAGGGACTCTTTACCTTCCCTATGGGTAGCTACCGCAATGAGCAGCGGGGAGCTGGCACGCAGCTGGTATTACACCAGGTAAAGTAGCAGAGGTTTCTGTTGTGTAAAGATCAGTCACTCACCGCTGGGTGTAGGGGACGGGACAGTCCTTTGTACACATGGTGACAGGCTCCCGAGCCGTGCTGCACGCTGGGGCCCCACTATCACTCCCACCCCAGCCAGGCTGCCTGCCCGGGGCTGACCCCACAGGTGCCAGCTGCGATGCCGCAGCCCACGGGTGGGCGGAGCGCGGTCGGGTCCCCCAGAGCCAGGCGCCCCCGGTCCGGCCCACACGCCGGGATCCTACCGTGTGTCCGGCTCTCCAAGGCGAGCTGCCCTCAGGCCGGGCCGATGTTCTGCCAATGCCCAGCCCCGAGGGGGTTAACCCCGCCACCTTACTCACGTGACAGCCCCTGGCACCAGCCCCACCACCAATCCTACCGCCCGGGTCACGCGGGCGGCTGCCTAGCGACGGGACGCTCTCGAGCCGGGGGTGCCCTCTGCGGCTGCGCGCCCCTCGAGGCAACGGCTAGCGCCCCTTTCCCACACTGGATGCTCGTTCGCCCGCCGAGTCCCGTTTACTCATCACGCGCGCACGGTTCGCTGGCACGCGCTGTACTGCTGCTTGGCGAACGCACCCGGTAGGGCTCCCAGGCCGCAGCAGGGGGTCGCGCCCCCCCCCCCCCCCCCGAGAAGTGGAGTGGGGGCATGAGCTCGGACCTTGTCGGCCCCAGTGGGGCTCCGCTCCAGTGAATCTGGTCTGTGCGCGGCGCCGCAGCGTGGGAAGGGGCGCGGGGGAACCTTTCAAATCGGTTTCCCCTCGTGAAGGGGGCGCGGAGGGCCGTGTGCGTGGGGGAGCGGCAGGGGGCGCCATGTCCGAGGTCCCGTGCGGGTGGCTCTGCCCTGCCGATGGGTCTCCCGTGCGTCTGCGGGACCTTCTCAGCACACTCCTTTCCCCCAAACCGCCTCCAGCCCGTTTATAGCAACAATGCACCAGCCGCAGCCACTGGTCATCTGTCTCCCAGCAGCCTCCCCCCACCCAGCAGGGCCATCCTGTTGGTTCATAACAAATCATATAAACCAGTGGTTTTCAACCTTATTTCATTTGTGGACGCCTAAAACATTTCAGATAGAGGTGTGGACCCCTTTGGAAATTTTAGGCATAGTCTGGACACCCCTCCGCCCCCGGGTCCACAGATTGAAAACCACTGATCTAGCCCAAGCTAGATAGTGCTACAGCTACAGCTGTTGAAACTCAACCATAATTTTGCTTGCATTTTCACCTTCCTGGAAAGAGTTGTTTTTCGTCTCCATTCACCAGCATTAAAAACTGACAGATGATCATTTTTGCCCTCATTCTTTGTTTATACAAAGAGAACAATCCTAAATTATGTTTTAGCGCACCACAGATTGCACTGTGAACACTCCTGGCCTAAATAAAACGTTGACTAGGTCTTTTACATTGTTATGGTGCTTAAGTATTTGTAAGGGAGCTATTATCCTTGTATCTAAATTAGAAATATTCTTTACACTTGATATATTTTCTGCTTTCCAGTTTGACCCTCTACTTTAACTGTATGTAAAGGGCCAGTGCTTACTAAAAGGTTCAGAAAAAACTGATATTTTGCAGATGATAGCAAAAAGCTAAATGTATTTTGAGTTTTAAGTTTAACACTAAAAATGAAAGTGTGTCAAACTATTATTTTTTTCTGTGATCTTTTATTACTTCCAAAGCGTTGGGAATCATATACTAAACAGACCGTGATTTCAGTACTGTACCTACAATAAGCAATATTCGGTCAGTGTTCACACACAAATCCCAAAACAAGGATGTTAGTATTATCATTGTTATAGTCGTATCATTATTATATTGTATAACAGTATTGTAATAGTAGTAATATATTGGGTCCTGATCGTACAAACACTTATACACATGCTTAAAACTTAGCTGACATGAGGCTGTAGGAAAACAAAAACTGCATTCTGAGTCAATATATTTTTAATCTCATGAGTAGCAGAGATGAGACATATGCCCATAAATGAAGCCCTTTATGCTATTGATACTTGTCTCATAGCTAACTGTTCTTTTGTTGTAGAAATGGTTTAAACAAGAAAATCAAGCATCCCAAAAACAAAGTGTACAAACCATGCCAAGAATGTAAATATATTTGAAGAGTGGGTTGCAGAATCCTTTCAGGTGAGAGGAAACTATAGAACCTTCAGGAGGTAAGTGTGTTCAGATGTGCATTCTGTGGAGGTGCATTGTGACAAAACACTGATATATGCCAGTGTGCCAGAAAGTAAGATTTGAACTTAACAGGAAGCATACCTAAGGGGTGTCTGTGCAAGAGACCAGAAGGAAGGAATAGTCTGTGATGTTTCCGATCTCCTGCATTTGTGTGACTTGCCTTTAGATAAGGTCTGTTTTCTTCTTCTTAAATAGATCATACACAGAAATTATTTAAATTCTAAGTAGCTTCTAGGTTCCTTTGGAATCCACATTGAATTCAGTGAAGTGTGTATTTAGGGACAGAAAATGGTTAATTGGGACTATTAGAGAAGAGCTAATAGAATTTAGCACTGTAAGGAAAACTAGTGATCATGTACTATTGTAACTGGAGATAAGTGAATATTTCCTAAACTATGTTAAGCAACTACTGCTTCATGGAAATTACATTTTGAAACAAATGGAGCAGAATTGTACTCTATGTTTTGGAAACATACAGGCCGGTGTAAGAGAGGTATTTACCTAACAAGAATGGTCCCTACGCTGTACATATTTTAAAAAATTCTCTCTGAACTGATGAGTTATGTATATCTCATTGTGCATCTCCATCTGAAGTTCTATAAAACTAATTGACAATGAGCCATGTTTAAGAGAGTTTGTTGTTTCCTTAAATGTAATCTAGTTAGAAAGATGGTTAAAAACGTTTAAAACAACTGAAATGATATGTCCTTCAAGAAGTTATAACATTGTAAAGAAATTGGTACAACATAGATTCTAGTATCCTTAATTATGTTGAGTAATATTTTACTCAACAAGTAGTCCCAATTACCTCAATAGGACTTTTTTTGTGGAGAAAGGTTATACTCAACATAAGTAAGATTTTAGAATCTGGCCTTACATAAACAGAATATAGTAAGAATAAATTTTAAAGCTTGTTTTTATTATTTCACTATCTGTATAACTATGGATGATGCTGGTGCTTCACTAGATTGGAGAACAAACATATCCTGGGAAGTATATTAAGACAAATATTATTTTACAATCTCAATGAACGGAGAATCAGAGATTTTGACTTCAATGGGAGCAAGAGCAAGCCTCATCTGATCTGCCTTTAATATGCTTCAAATATAGTCAGAAGACAGAGGGTCTAAGATTCAGAGGAAATTAAAAGCCAAGTTCTTGAATAATCACTGTAAATCATAGCTGAGAAAAATGCTCTGTGAATGATGTTTTTTCTCAAAATATCTGGCAGATTGGAACTCTTTTGGCAAAGGGGAGCATGTCTAAAGTTGGGGAGAAGTACTTTCTTAGGCAGTGTAAGTTCATACCAACTTCCAGGGTCTGCCTATGCTTGCTTGTAAATTAAAGATGTTATTTGTTTTTAGGAAGGATGGTCTTGTAGTTAGGCACAGGACTGGGATGTCTCTTGCTTTATTCAAATCATACCATACTGGCATATAATATAGATTATTTATTTCAGAAAGTGCATGTCCACTTCATTTTCTGATTAAAATACATCAGATGTGTGCATGCTCTTTGTCAGTAACGCAGCATTAATGAAGATTTTTATGGCTATAACCTACACATTTGTTTTGATTGTATTCATGACTTTTATTCACCTAGCCACAGAAGAACAAGCTTTTATTCACAAGAATTCTTTCTGGAAGCAAAATCTCTCAAATCCTAGCACGAATAAATCTGTTTATGAGAGCATTTGTATTGGGATTACTCTCGTAGTCATTTTGCAAAGCTGTTTTAATTACTCTCACATTAGTCTGACACTTACAAATATTCACAGATAATTTGTGAACAAAAAAGGGAATTCCAGTTTATAAAGCTTAGGCCATCTGATCAGGGAGCGGACACAATAACATGTGACTTAGATGTCTAGGGCATAAAGTATGCATAGCAAATATTAATTGCAACCAGCTCAAAAACTCTGTGATAAAATGTTCATGCACAAAGTATTGAACACTTGTAAAAAATGAGCAAACTAGTATTTATTATAAGTAATACTACAGTGCCTATAGACCCCAACTCAGATTGGGACCCCTGCTGCTAGGCATTGTTCACACAGTGAGAGAAAGTTTGTGCCTTGAAGAGCTTGCAGTCTAAATACGCAAGATGGACAAAGGGGTGAGAAGGGAATCGACACAAATGACCTTTTCCAAAGTTATCCAGCAGGTCATGGAAGAAATGACTCCTAACCTAGTGCCTTGTCAACTAGATAACACTGTCTTTAATACAATGCACAACCTCTTCACAGAGCATTCACAAAAAAAGGGCTGAATTCATTGGCTAAACTATTTGCAACAAACTATTTGATATGGTCTAGTCAGTAATTCTTAAAATATATTTTAGTTTAAATCGGGAAACACTGTTTAGTGTCTTCTTCCTTTACATTTTTCAGGAGGTGTGAATGGAGTCTGAATACCTCAAGAGATGCCTAGGAATATGCTTGGCAAAGGGACTTGCAGAAGTGGTAGAGCATCGGCCCATAGACCCAATAGAGTATCTGGCATACTGGATTTACAAATACAGGAGAAATTTAGATGAAGAACAACAGGTGGATCTCTCTGCATTTAAAATGATTACTGTTACTCTTTCACAAACTTTAATGACAATATAGCCAATATTAGTTAATCTTTTTTCTGATTTGTCAATATCTTGCAATGACAGAGGAAGCAGGAGAGGGCTGAACTTGAGCAAGAGCGTGAGGAGGCCCTGAAAGAACTGGAAATGTTAGAAAAAATGAAGGAAGAAGAACTCATGTTCCAGCAGAAACTTGCAGAGGAGCAGCAGGTCTGGCAAAATATAGTCAATAATAAAAGTAATTAAAATTTCTAGCAGATAATACTGTGGCATTGACACCTCATAATTAAGGCTAAGTTTTAGTCACGGGTATTTTTAGTAAAAGTCATGGACAGGTCACAGGGAGTAAACAAAAATTCATGTCCCGTGACCTGTCCATGACTTGTACTATATACCCCTGACTAAATCTTGGGTGCTCTGGGGGGATGAGGGGGTGGCCCAGTAGTGCTGCGGGTGCTCGGGGCGGGAGGAGGAGAGTGTGGCCCAGGACCCTCGCTGGTGCTGGGTGGGGGAGGAGGTTTGGCGGGGCTGGCAGGCTCCCTACCTGGTTCCGTGTGGCTCCCTGGCTATCTCTCGGCTCCTAGGCAGAGGCGTGGCCAGGGAGCTCTGAGCTCTGCCTGCGCCCCACGGGCTGGCTCCGCAGCGCCCATTGGCTGGGAGCTGCGGGGGCGGTGCCTGTGGGTGAAGGCAACGCATAGAGCCGCCAGGGCGTGCCTCTGCTTAGGAGCCAAGGGAGAGACATGTCACCGCTTCCAGGGAGCCCCCTGAGGTAAAAGCTGCCCAGAGCCCTCACCCCCCCCCCCCGCATGCCAGCCCCTAGCCCCCTCCCACACCCAAACTCCTGCTGCTGCTGGGGAGGGAGATAGTGGCCAGAGACTGCCCCAGCAGCAGCCGGTGTGGCTGGCCCAGGGGCTGCCTGAGCTGCTCAGGCGGTCCCCGGGCTAGTTGCACCGGCCCCTGCAAAAGTCACAGAGGTCCCTGAAAGTTATGCAGTCCGTGACTTCCCTGACCTCCACGACAGACTCGCAGCCTTACTCATAACACTGGAACCAGCCTAGGTATGTATCTTATGGTTGACATATTGCATATGTCTGTATAATGGTGTTACAATAACGCAGCATAAAAGCACTATAATGTGACTTGCATAAAGTGTCTATGTGCCAAATAATAAGTGACATGACCATTCAGAACATGGAAGTGGCTAAGCAAGGAAACTGACTTTGCAGTATGATCTCCTTAAATAATGCAGAACCCTAAGGCAAAGAATACCCAATTTAAGGCTTCTCTGAGCATCAGTAACTTACAATTGGCATGTCAGGTGCTGGCGTTCACTATGTATAGTTGCCTGTCAATTAGGCTGTCAATTGCAGTTAACTCACGCGATTAACTAAAAAATATTAATGGCTATTAAAAAAATTAATTGTGATTAATCGCAGTTTTAATTGTACTGTTAAACCATAACAGAATACCAATTTATTAAATTTATTAAATATTTTTTGGATATTTTTCTACATTTTCAAAGATATTGATTTCAATTACAACAAAGAATACAAAGTGTACAGTGCTCATTTTATATTATTTTTGATGACAAATATTTGCACTGTAAAAATGATAAACAAAAAATAGTATTTTTCAATTCACCTCATACAAGTACTGTAGTGCAATATCTTTATCATGAAACTGCAACTTACAAATGTAGATATTTTTTTTATTACATAACTGAAGTATGGAAGTATGTCCTCTAGAATGGTGGCTGAAGCAATAAGGGGCATACAAATGTTTAGCATATCTGGCATGTAAATAACTTGCAACTCTGGCTACAAAAGTGTCATGCGAACGCTTGTTCTCACTTTCAGGTGACATAGTAAATAAGAAGCGGGAACCATTATGTCCTGCAAATGCAAACAAACTTGTTTCTCTGAGCGGTTGGCTGAACAAGAAGTAGGTCTAAGTGGACTTGTAGGCTCTAATGTTTTCCATAGCTTTGTTTTTGCGTGCAGTTATTTTTTGAATGTAATCTATATTTGTAAGTTGAACTTTCATGATAAAGATATTGCACTACAGTAATTGTATAAGGTGAATTGAAAAATACTATTTCTTTTGTTTTTTACAGTGCAAATATTTGTAATAAAAATAAATATAAAGTGAGCATTGTACACTTTGTATTCTGTGTTTTAATTGAAATCAATATATTTGAAAATGTAGAAAACATCCAAAAATATTTTAATAAATGGTATTCTATTATTGTTTAAAAGCACGATTAATCGCAAATTATTTTTTTAATCGTTTGACAGCCCTACTGTCCATGCACATAGTAGGTGTATTCAGTAGATGTGGACTGCTCCCTATATTGTGGCAGATAATCAACAGATCTGTAATTTACATACACACACAACTTTACAAGTGGTTGCCATTGTATGATCATGGAGTACATCCACTGTGGTTCCCTGATCTGTGATGTAGCCTCCTATCCTATGTAGAGTGTAGAGTTGAGAATTTTTTTTTTTTTTTGGCAAATATTTGTTTGAATTGGACGTTGAATTTTGATTTGATCATGTATGCATTTTTGTCATGTTTGCTTTCAACAAACATTATGTGAGCATTTCTGTTATGAGTGTTCATGCAAAGTGAATGTTTCAATATTTGTAAAATTCATGTTTAGGATGTATATTTGAATATATATTTAATAATTCATACTGTGTTAGTTACATACAAGGGCAGCCTCAAGGAAACCTAGGGAACCACTGCACAGTTATTTGACTCGGCCCCACTTGCATGTCTGAAATTTAATGTGTAACCTTCTTCATGTTACCTTGCCCAACTGCTCTGCTCTAACATCTGCATGTGGGAAGAGAAGGTAATAGTGAATGTATCCAGAAATTGTGTGTTTGTGGAAAGAGTCGGGATTAGTGGATGGAGGTTTCCTGTTAAATAAAAGAAGGGAAAATCTGTGGTGTGGGATAGCATGAGCTAAGGAGATGTCCTTATTCTTCATACGTCTCAATTTATCATCACAGTAGAGTTATTTCAGCTAAAAACATTATATAGAACTGAAACAGGAGAAATAAAGATTCACATTTCTAGCTGGCCTTGGTAGAGCAGACCTCTGCCTCCCATGACCCGAAGCCACCTGTTTGAATGAGCAGTGTCTGAAATAGCCCCGTTTGTATATCACATGGTATTGTTGCCATTCCCAGATTGGGATTGCTTACATAATTAACCATAACAGTGTAATCTAAGCATATGACAATCAAATATAGAATTTTAAACTCATGCTGCTCTCATTAGTTTAGTTGTGTAAGTTATAGCATGAATTGCATATTGTATATTCTTTTATACTTTTTAATTTACAGTTTAACAATTTGAAAACTGAATTATTTGCTGAAGAATTTCATGAATAATTTCAAATAATTAATACATATGAGTATATGATGTTATATCTGCAAGTGGCTCACAAAGAAAGAAAAGGCTAAATTAATCAAATAAGTTATTTGTTATGAATTTTCCCCTCAGCTTTGTCACAGTAAAGTCACATTTTTCAAGGGACTGGTTGTGTGTGGGTCACAGTTTTGAGCGACTAGCTCTGGGCACATGCATGTGCTCTATATGACTGCATATGACCAAAGAGCATCTGAATGCCACTTTTGGACTTAGTGGTCATGTTTGTTAATATATTTTCACAAAATATTACAGCGAATAAAACAAGATTTTTGCTGTCAGTATTTGATTCTCCAGCATAAGTGTTAATGAATAAAACATTATTTATACTTAAATTATGCAATTTCTGACATATGATGGCAGCAAAGACCTGAGGCCCAGATTTTTAAAGGTATGTAGACGTTCATGCGTTCAACATTGCAACAGCTAACTGATTTAGGAGCCTAAATCTCATTTTCAAGACAGATTAGGCATTTAGGAACCTAAACCCCATAGACTGTCAATGAGATTTTGGCTCCTATGTGTTTAAATCCCTTTTGAAATGAGATTTCGCCACCTAAATCAGTTAGACATTGCAACGCTGAATGCAGTAGCACCTAAAACACCTTTAAAAATCTGGGTCTTAAATTCTTGTGAGTTCTAGTTGTCTTCAAATGGACATTGGATTTGACCTTTAATGAGAATGTGTGAGGGATGTATGGAAGGGTAAGGTCTTCAGTTGTCTATTCTGTTTTCCCTTTGACAATCAAAAGACCTTGCTCTCTATTCTGGTCCACAACTGATAAGATTGTTGAGTCACCTGATATTTCAACAAATCTAAACTTCTTCTTATTTCAGTTATTGTATGTTTATGTTTTCAAGCATAAAATACATTGTAAATGGTGAAGAAAAAGCATGCAGTGTTGTTGTAGCCATGTCAGTTCCAGGATATTAGAGAGATGAGGTGGGTGAGATAATATCTTTCATTGAACCGACTTATATTGGTGAGAGAGACAAGCTTTCAAGCTTACATAGCGCTCCTCTTCAGGTCTGGGAAACTTACCCAGAATGTCACAGCTAAATACAAGATGGATAAGCCCCTTCATTTTCAGTTTAAACCGTTTTTTACTGAAAAAATCTCGTTTTTTTCCAAAAAGTAGTATTTGTTTTTTTTTCTGTGTAATTCAAACATATAAAAAATAGCGTGTTTTATTAGGAAAATACAGTACATTGCATGAGATATATGTATTACAATAATATATTAGTTTGTGTGTATATGCAAAGCTGCCTGTTGAAGTAAGGCTATATATTATTCTAGAAGATGCACACAATAAACAAACAGGCATGTACGCAAGCTCTGAAGTGCATGCACATCTGAACGTCGTGATGAATCTCACACCCACCATATACACATTTCAAGCTGTTAGCAGATAACGGTTTAAGGATTTGACACTCTAAAATGGGAAGAAAACGAAAATCAGAATATGTTTCAGAACATAAGGAAGTATTCAAAAGTTTAAAAAAAACAAAAATGGGAGAAAAGGATGAAGTTGAGTGCATGTGCTGCAAATGGTGTGGCATCATACTTGACACTCAGGCCAAGCGGATTAAAGAACATTTCGAGAGCAAATGACACTTAAGACATTGGAATCAGCATTTGTCCGGGCACGGCAGAAAGAGCGAGATCAAAACGATGTAATAAGTGAATTTGTACATGCCGTCTGCTTTTCAGGGCAGCCGCTAAGCCTTGCTGATGGTCCTTTGGAGGACTTTATATGAAATTTCTGTCCAGCAGAAAAATCTTTGCCAAATTCAATCAATATGACCAAGAAATATCTGGAGGAGCATGATGATGCTCTGACCAACAAAATTAAAGAGAGGTTGACTGGAAATATAGTTAGTTCTTTGATTTTTGATGAATCGTCAGATGTTCTCGACCGCCCAATCCTGGTGATTTTGTTTTCATTTTTCATTTTGTTTTGGAGAAGCCTGCACTCATTTTGGCAGATCTGGAGTTTGTAAAGTCAGCAGTCAAACAGTTGCGGCAGGTGTCAGTAAAACTTTAAATGAATATGCACTTATGTGGAAGGATTTGAGCTACAGTGAATTCTAACTCGGCTTCTTACTGCGTGAAGTTCAAACACAAGATGTAAAGCTGAATGAAAAACCTAAATTGCTTTGTTTGTCTTGCCCAGCTCACCTGCTGCACGTTGCTGTCTCTCATGCAACAGGGGTTCCCAAAATGGCTGATTTAAAAAATTCCGTAATAGATGCTGGTGCAGTTTTCAAGCATTCAAATAAAAAAAAATCTTCTATGATGTTTGCGAAGAGATCGCACTTGAATACAGCATTTCAGCATTCCAGTTGTACCGACAAGATGGTTTAGTCTGTATTTGGCTGCACAGAGTGTTCAGAAGGCAATAGGTGTATTAATGCAACTTTTATATCACAAAGAGTTCAACAGTGGAAAAGCCAAAAAGCTGAAATCTCAAGCAGCTATGTAAGAAATTAGGCAAAGCCTTTGTACAAAACTCAAATTCCTGATTGAAACACTTCAGCCACTACATGAAGCACAGAAGAAATTGAAATCCAGTTCTTTAACAGTTGTCACATTTTCTAATACAAAGGTGTCTGGCATTCTGGTTAACAATATCTCTGCAGAACTTTCTCACAAAAGCACATCTGGGGAGATTCCAGAAAAAACAATTTTTTTCCAAGTCTGTGTTGCCAGTCACTGTGCAGGAGGACCACCTTGCAAAAACTTTCAAAAGTTTTTACGAAGAGCTGTCAAAGAAGTGGGAAGCTACTGACGCTCGCAATATGTCCCCTACAGCTTTTCAGAGAGAATCATCATTCTGGAAAGTCATTGTGCTGTTTGACCCTCATCGTAAAAGTGTGGCCTCAGCTGATAAATGTAAAGAGTATGTTTGTATAATCTCCCCTTTTGTGGCTTCTAATGAAGAAAATACAAAACTGGAAAGTGCCTATATGGCAATGCCTTCCACAGACAACCACTGCATCACTCCTCTTGAATTCTGGGAAATCCACCACACTGACTGTCCAACTTTGAGCCGTGCTGTCTCTCGCATCCTCAGTGTCCCACCTGGCTCAGCTAATGTGGAAAGAGAATTTTTGAAATTCAGCTACATCCAAGACTGTAGGAAAATGGGCCTGGGAAAAGACTACTTAAAAAGATTGCTGCGAGCCTACACTACTCAGGACTTTTGGAAATTACACTGAAGGACCTCACAATGAGTGTTTATAAATATTTTAAAATATTGGGCCCAATTATTAAATGTAAATATTTATAGCCTAATAGTTCTAAGTCTACAACAGTAAACTGCTTATTCAAATGAAAAGCTTTATTTGGGGATTAGCGATATATTGTTTTCTTGAACTCAGTGGTGGCATTGTGTTTTGAGTTCTGTTTTAGTTCTGCAGCAAACCACATTGAATTCCGTTCGTGAAAGCATTAATCTATTGAATGCTTTCCCCCCCGTCCTTCAGTCCACCAAAATAAATCCCAGTATTTACCCAGAAAAATTAGTAAACGTTTTTGCACTGATTTTCAGCTGTTTTTGTTGTTGTAGTAATAAACATCAATAGATTCCCGGAAAAAATAAAATAAAAACTGGAAACGAAGGGCCATAAAGATGGGACAGATTGTTTAGCATAAGTAGTTAACACACACTTCAGGGGACCATTCAAGGTGAAGTGGTCCGTTAACACCCCTCCAGACATAGGGAGAAAACAAACGTGGGAGGTTGCTAGTGGGTGATCATTGTAATAAGCCATAAATCTAGTGTCTCTATTCAGTCCATGAATTTAAGCCCCCTTGAAATATGTTAACTACTTATGCTAAACAATCTGTTCCATCTTGTATTTAGTTGTAACACTATGAGTAATTCCCAGATCTGAAGAAGAGCTGTGTAAGCTCGAAAGCTTGTCTCTTTCACCAACAGAAGTTGGTCCAATAAAAGATATTATCTCATCCATCTTGTCTCTTGACAAAAAGTACATATATAAAACCTCTGCTTTGCAAACTTTAACACCAACATAGGTCAGCCTACTGTAGTTTACCTTTTTTTTCTCAATTTGTCCATGTTATATTGCTTCCATAAAATGATTGCAGGCTCAGCTGGAACGAGAACATGAGGAGGCTCAGCTGGAACTAGAAAGGGTAGAGAAAGAGAAAGCAAAAGAGCTGTCCTTGCAGCAAAAAGCTGAAGAGGTCTGACAAAGTTCCATTAATAATAATAATTAATAATTAGATAATGTTTCCAACCAGCCTTTCCAAGATCCATGCTTAGATATCAAACATGCTCTCTGATCAGTGCAGGAATTGTGTATGTATGCTTTTAGCCTATGGACATTTTACCAAACTGTCAAAATCTGTGAAAGAACATTTCTGGAATGCATGTCTAGCCCTGCAGCTTCATTTCAAATTTCCTGAGTTAGACACTGGGCTGTACTATCAGTCTCTTCAGCATAATTTTCATAACCAAGTATAAATGGTTTCAGAGTGCAACTTAGTATACATTTGTTTGCTTAGTGGTGCTGCAGTCTTCCTTGGTTATGGTTATGAGAGTGTTTTTGTTGAAATGGGAACACAAGTGAATAACTTCCCCAGTCCTCCTATTTGTAAATGCAAACACACTTAGGGTTTGTCTACTACTACAGTTTTGTTGCTTTAGCTATGGTGTAGCTAACGCAGTAAACCTTCCTACTGTGGATGCACTTATGCTAGTATAAAAGTGTTTATACCAATATAGCTTATTCTGGTTTGTGAGGCAAAATAAATTATACTGTCATAAGGGATCTTTCTGCTGGTATATCTTTGTCTACATACGGCTTTTAAAAAAAATCACCCCAACTGACATGGCTATATTGGTAAAACTTTTAAGTATAGACCAGCCTCCAGTATATGGGGTTCATCACAATCTAAAGGAGAATATTTTTCTCAGATCATTTTGTCAAAATATTGACAATGTATCACTCTAAATATCAAACTTTATAAAAGTGAGATAGAGAAAAGGTACTACATGAAAACCTAAAGTTGTTCAAATTCCTCTAATAATAACTAATATTAGCCCTAACGGTAATACATAGACCTTTTTCACACTTAATTTATTTATGCCAGGGCTTTGTTACCATAAATCTCTAGTCTATGGCATCTGTTTATTTTCATTAGTTTAGTGCATACTAAGGTTCTTTAACATATCTTCAGAGTTCTTAAATACATTTGTGACAAAATTACTAATAACTCACAGTAAGCTTTGTAATTCAATTGTAGGAACCGGGGGATAAATCAAGGACATTAGCTGAGCTTACAGATAAATATGGAGCCCCTAATTTGGCCCGAGTTGAGGAGATAGATGAGAGTGGGCAATCTGACGTAAGTACCAAAAAAAAAAAAAAAAAAAAAATCTAAGTAATCCCTGTATAGAGATTTTTCTGTCCCCACTAATGCTATACAGTTAAGGCTGTGTCAGCACTTCCATTGTGGCCTAAAAGAGAGTATTTGGGCCATATTCTCCAGATCTTCTGAAGAGAGCTTGATCCCCAGTGCATGTTAAAGCAGCCTTTGGAATGTTCTCTCTGGTTGTTGGCTGCCAGTGGCCCCCACAGCCAAGGATGAGTTGATTATAGGAACTCTCTTGCCCTGCCTCATTTTCCCCCAGCTGTGCCCCTGTTTCAGCAGTTGAGGAAAACGGTGATGGAGCCAATGTGGTAAAGGAAATCCTTAAATTTCAAACTTTGTACATTCAACGTGTTTTCCAAATGAAAGTTTCAGTATTCCCAGGGGAGCAGCTACCTCCCTTTGCCTCTGTGATCATATGGCTATGATAAGTGCTAATTTAATCAGCTGGAGGTGAATCTTGAGAGTAATTAGAGGCTCTTTCTTTTTCTGGTGTGCTAAAGCACACAGTCCTCACAATACTCCTTGAATCTGTCACTATAGGGAAGTGAGAGAACGTGAATCAGATTTTGACTTGTGCAAAGCATTGCAGCATGTATAACAATACCTCTTGGGTCAGCTACTAGAACTGAAATGTATCCAGTTACATATATCTTGATGGTCAAAAGAATGTGTTAGATCCCACTTTTCAATTCAACATTTTTTAAATAAGAAGTTTTCAAGTAACAGAATATATATTTTTTTAAATGATTGTGTAACTCAAGATGCTGGTAAAGACTGTTTGTAGTTCCAGTATGCTGTTGCCAGAATTTTTTTTCTTTGAATTTCATTAAGTTGTCGTGCCTATCTTATTTTATTGTCAGTAATGTAATTTCAGCTTTGATTTTACATTGCATGAGGAATGTTTGTTAACATGTTTTGGATGTAATAACAGCCTGTTTATTTTACAAATGTTTTACAGGTGTCTCTTATTTTTAATGTATCTAGGAATACATTTGAAGTCAGGTTTTCACAATTAAGCTCATGTAATCATATGCATGCAATTGCAGGCATATTTGGTATGTAGTTATTACTACATTTGCACATGCAAATTGGGTAATGAAATATACAAATAAGTAATAATTATGTGTGTAGCCATTCACCTATGTAATTACCCAGTGTTAGGCATATAAATTAGGTTCACAGTTGTATAAGCATTAGTCTGGTGATGACACATTCTTTTTGCATTCTGGAAAGATATTGTCAGTGAGTTTACATAAAAACGGTGGGACCAGATCAATATTCTTACAGTATTGTATACACTTTCACCCTTTAGTACCCTTTGTTAGCTTGGGAATCAGAGATATTTGTCTCTATACAGTCTTACTTGTTGATGGTAGAGGGGAATAAAAACTAAAGTGTTATTTCACTGAATAGGAGAATGCATAGTCATGCTGAAGGTTATCTAAACACAGTTTCTGTTTGCTTTGGTTTGTAGCATGTTTTTACCAATTTCTGTTAATACTGGTGAGTAATTCTTCTTTTTCCTTTCTTTCTCTTTTTTGCTCTTAGGCTGCACTGAATCTCACGGCTGAATCAGAGGAAGAAAACCCAACTGATATGAAAGTCGATTCCTGAAGTTTAGTGACTTACTGTAATTGTGTATTTAATATATGGAATGAATTTATCAGTGATACCTGGGGGTTTGAGAGTTAGATAACAAAATCTTTTAAGGCAGCTAATTTAAGGCAAATATCATAAAAATAAAAATCATTCAAATTCTGGGAAAAACTGATTTGACTTGCTACTGATTACTAATTCATTTAGTGTTCTATGCATCAGGTTGTAAATACTGTACCTAGATTCAATGGAACCAGGAGAGACAATCTCTTCTAAAGCTGATACACTGAATTCCACGTAGTTCACCAAATAAGACACTTTCAGACAAGTATCCCAAAACCTAATATCCTGACTGGCCTTCATGAATATTAAATATTAATGCTCTAGAAGTAAGCTTAGGGATTCATCCTGATGTAGTTGTCCAAAAATTCTCCTCTTCTCATTTATTAGATTGGTTACTGCTTCCATCCAGAACTAGTTACATTTCATTAGTGGAAGAAGTGATTCCTGGATGTACACTGTTTTATAATAAAGGTCTTGATCTGAGTTCTCTAGGATCAATGGGGTTACTCATGTATTGAAAATTTTACAGATGCTTAAGTGCTTTGCTGTATGTGGGCTACAGTGTTCAGTACCTTGTAGGATAGAGTCCAAAATGCTTTCAAATGAAAGGTGCTATCTAGAATATTAAATGAGAGTTGTTATCTGATGAATTCTTGTTAGTAATGGACAAACCTCAAAAGGTTTTGAAGTTCACTTCAAATAGGCATCAGATAATCATCATATCTGAACTTAGCCTGATTTCCTGACCAAAGAGATTTGCAAAATTCTCTGGTTTTCTCCTGGCCAAAAATTCCACAATTGTGGTATTTTTTTCTATATTTCATTACTTATATTCCCAGTTGAACCGAGCAAGTGCTGATGTGTCCATTTAAAAAACAAACTATAAAACCTTTACAAAATTCCAATTTGTTTTGAGTTTGAGCTGGATATTTGATTGTTCGAGTTTTATCCAAATGGCTTCTTCTGTTCTTAATCAGATTATTTTTAACAAGGAAATGATGGTGCGTTGTTGCTGATTGTCAAGGGTGTTAACTTGCCTGCTCTAAATAGACACTGGCTTGTCTGGAAAGGATACCAGAATTGAGAAATTGGATGCCTCTTGGTTATAAAATAAAAAGGTTTCTTTCCACCTCAGTGTCTTCTAGCAGTACAGATTAGTTGGGCAATCAACATTCAGTTAAGATCAACAATATATAATAAAATATTACTCCATTACAAATTCAGTATGTGGTTTCTTTAATTGATATTTTTGTGTTTGGGGATGAAAGAGAGATTTTGGGATAGCTTAGCAGTTTGATAATTAATCTGTGCTAAAGCTCGTTCTAGGATTTCTTCTGCCCTTTATAAGATAGAAAATATGCAGACCCTGCAGGCAAAGGTCAGTCATGCAATAAATACTTTCTTGTCGTAGTTTGACTTGCTCTGTTCATATGGCAAAGCTGGCACCGAGCAGAAACCTGTCAAAATGTTGTGCTTTTAACACTATCGATTCATAATGAAATTCTCCAAGAAAATCTTTGCTCCTTGTGCACTCTCTGCTATTGATTCCTCACTTCAGTGCATTAGTGTCTTTGGTTCCATCCCTTAAAGTCAACAGAAAGATTCCCAATGACTTTGAATCATGCTTTAATTACATGCTGGAAAGTGGCATGGGGCTGATAGGTTAAATGCATCTTTGCAAAGTGCTAAAAACGCTGCATTGTAGCAACAAGTACAAAAATATGTAAAATAGCCTTGGATTTCTGTTGGCAAATAAATATTGAAAACCCAGAGCTATACTATTGCCCATGCATGTTGATAGTTTTATGCTGTTTATTGGCATCTGCCTGTTTTAGAGAGAACTTTGCTATAAAAACACAACAGTAGAGCAACAATAGTCTGGGATGCATTCCTACAAACTTTGATTCATGCAGCTATCCTTAATTATGTAAATAGTCTCATTAAAGTAAATGGGACTATTTGTGTGAATAAGTGTTTAGAGGTTTGGGTTTCAGTGTTGCAGTGGATACATTTATTCTGAATTGATGCATATTTGTTTAATTTTAATGGCAGCTATGTCTCCATATCCTATCCCTTAGTCAGCTTTGAAAATCTCAGCCTTGATATGTAATTAGGAAATACAACCAGGGCCAGCTCCAGGGTTTTGGCCGCCCCAAGCAGCCAAAACAAACAAAACAAAACAAAAAAAAGCCGCGATCGCGATCTGCGGCGGCAATTCGGCGGGAGGTCCTTCACTCCCAGGTGGAGTGAGGGACCGTCCGCCGAATTGCCGCCGAATACCTGGAACTGCCGCCCATGTCGGGAACGGCCGCCCCAAGCACCTGCTTGAGAAGCTGGTGCCTGGAGCCGGCCCTGAATACAACTAAAACACAAGACTGTGGCCCTTAAAATGCTAGTTAATAATTTCAGCCATTAATTTCCTATCACACCAATAGAAACACAGTACCTACTTGTTATTTCATTCAGTCCCATTCCAATCACTTGGTTTGAAATAAACTGTTGATCTTGTTACACATATGTCCACTAGGGTGCATATTATATCTTGGCATCACATGGCAGTATTTGTAATGTCCGTAACAATCTTGTTACAGTTTTTTTGTTTTGTTTTATAATTGTGGGTTTTCTTTGGATTCTTTCTGCTTAGACCAAATTCTGAATGAGCCCTCTTATTAAGTAGCAACTTTCGATAGGCAGTGATTTATTTTCCAGTACTACCTGCTTAGAAGTGATTAAAGTGGATCAAATAGAGGGCCAGATTCTGACACTTTTACACCCTGCAGTTCATGAATACTGCTGCAATAGCCTAGAGGGCTCATAAAGGGTCTCAAATGGCTCCTAGGGGAATTCTGCCCCCACTCCTTCAGGAATAGAACAGAGCTGACGTTTGTGGCCTTTCGTAGAGACATTCCTGTGTGAGGACGGGGTGAGAGAGGGAGCGGCCATAGCTCAACACTACTCTGGGGTGCAGAGTAGTCCACAGGTGGTCTGGGCAGGGCTTTTGCAAATTACAGAAGAGACCACTCCTGTCCCCAGCGAGTCCTGGAATCCAAGGGTGCAAAGGTGGCTTAAAATCACCTTTGCCCTCCCCTCTTCCTGGCTGTGCGTGCTGTGAGGCCCACGGAGTGGCATTTGTGTTGTTCTTAATACACACAATTTGATTTGAGAAATTGTAATCCAATTAAATAGAGGATGAAATTTGACCATTGATTGAATAAAATGGAAGGCACTGTATTGAGAACTGCAATCAGTAAGTGAAACTTAAGCTGTAGTATGATTTACCCTTAAAATATATTTGTGAGGAAAGGTTAAATTTGGGAGCAGGTGTTAGAAAATGTTGGGAAAAATATACTGCCAAAATATTGACAGAAGAATCATGAACATGTTCTCTCTTCCTTTCCTCAGAATGCCTGCAGGTTTATTTAGGCTAAAATGAGACCCCATATAGAGACCATCCAAAGAATGTGCTGATAGTAGTGTGCTCCTCACAGCTGTTGCCATTCCTCCAGAGCTGAAGCAAGTGTAAGGAGGAAAGCAGATATGAAGACCAGAATAAGGTCTAAATGAATTAGTTTAACTAACCAGACCTCCAAAAAAAAAAAAAAAAAAAAGAGGGATGCTCAGTCGCACACAGTGTGAAATGCTTACCTTTCAGGAGAAAAGGAATATACAGCAAAATAAGGGGAGGAGGCTCATTGTTACTTCTTGTTAAAGGGTGGTAATGCAAAGCTCACCTTTCCCCATAGATCCCTGAGTGTCTGATGCTCTGGAAAATGAAAAGATATATCCAAAATTGTACTCAGCTGTCATGCTTAGTAGTACAGAATTCTGCAATTAGACTCAACCCCTCAGCCTTAATTCATTTTGTTAATAACAGAAAATGAATTCTGTACCCTTTTGTGATGGCATCAGAGAAATATACAGCTATAAAGGAAAGATTCAGTCATTTCCTTTGCAGCTTCAAACACATCGGCCTAAAGTGGCTTGTTAATGTATGCTTAAACCTCTTGCAAACAGGTGGCTAATTCTGCAGTTTCACCAAGAGTAGTCCCAGAAGTGAACTGATGCATGTGAGCCCTCCCATTAAAAAATTGGGCTGAAAGAAATAACTCAAATAACTCAGATTGTAGTATAATGTGCCATTACAAAAGTGGACAGAGCCCATTAGGACATGTGATGCCATGGTTATATCAAAAGGTTTGGGACAAAGTTGTTTCCTGGATTATTGTCTTCTGATTCAATAGATCTCAACCTGCTAGCTGCTTGAAAACCCCTGGTGGGTCTGTGGCATGGGTAAGAAGACTGTCATGAACAAAATGGATACTCTGGTTACTTTCTCCAGACCTGAAGAGGAGCTCTGTGAAGTTTGAAAGCTTGTCTCTTCCATCAACAGAATTTCATCACATAAAAGATACTACCTCACCAACCTTGTCTCTCTCATCATGAACAGAATTATTTTTTCAAAAACATGTCTTGGAGCAAATAAACTTGGAAGCGGGAGAGTTAGAATTGGGAGTTACATGTACCAATTGTTAGTGAAATTGACTAGAATGATGATTAGTCAACTTCACTCAGTAGGGAATCTGAGTAAAGCATATCAGTGCTGCAGGAATGCAGCGTACTAACTCTAATTTCAGGCCAGCAAGTGAGAAGGTGGGAAGTCAAGGAAGAGACAAGAGGCACGGAAAGAAGTTAGGGGAGGACAGCAGTGGTAATTTTTTCTGCTAACTTAATTATTCCATAGAATTAGTTGCGTAACCAAAGTTTACAAGCAGACTAACCATAACTGGCCTTTTGCTTTTGGGAATATCTCTGATAGGGGCTCCTACAAATTTGTTGTGGCTTTGACAAAGGACTTGATTCCTGATCAGAAAAAGAACTTCTATTCCATTAGCCATCAAAATCATCAACTTATTGTGTGACCAGGGGCATATAACTTTAGCTCTGTGTACTTCAACTAGTTCAGGTACATATTTGAATTATGAAAAAAGAATGAAGTCTTAACTACAGGGGGAAAACAGATGTTGCATCTTATCTGAGCAATTGAGTGCGAAGCAACAAATAAAAAGTCTCACTGCTGTCTGTAATTATATAAATGATTAACTATAAATTGAAATACACCCTCTCCCATCGTTATGCATCTAGCGAACTTAAAACTAGCAATAGGTGAATTTGAAAAGGCTTGGAGCTCAGGCTCCAATAGTTTCGGGTATCATACTAAGCTTATCTGATTTATCCAGATCTTTAGAGACTATAAGACTGGGTTGGAAATCCTGAGAACAGACTTTCTTGTGAGATCTCATCTTCCTGCTTTCAATCATGGGCAGAGATACTGCAAGAACAGCCATTCTCATGGTACTTCAGTATTTTCCATCGTAGCTGGAAAGTGGAAGTGAAAAATCTTTTATGCACATTTTGGAATTTTGAATAAGGTTCATTTTGAATTTGGTTTGAGAAATTGATAAAGGTTCTGGTGTGGGTGGGGAAAGTACTATAGTCAAACTGGTTCTTTAAAACTAGAGATGGAGAAACTTTCTGAGGGAGAAAGGATGGCGTCTGAGTCTGGACCTAGACCTAAATATCACGGTTTGTCTTTACCTTTATAGTGGGCTGAATCAAAACAGCTCTGAACAGACCTGAACTTTGATGTGTTCAAAATCTGGATCTGAATTTTGTGTCTCGGTCTCCTCTCTACACAGAGGATATGTTAACATCTCAGGAGCCTGACCTTGCTCACACAGATGTCAAAGGCAAAACCCCCATAGTCAAAAAGGGGAGCAGCTCTGGGCTCTGCCCATATGACAAGCAGGTCTTCTGTCCCTTAAGACTAGTCCCTCTGTGCCTTTGTAAACTTAGGTGCCTTGATTGACTCAGGCTAAGTGTGGGAAGAAACTCTGCAGGAGAA